GCCACTACCATACCTTTCAATGATTTGTTTTAGCATTAACGTCAATCGGATGCCAAGCTCTACTTCCTCCGTTGTCCTTGCAACTACATCTCGCAACGCCGATTCACGCCTTGTTGAAAGAAAGAATTCAAATCAGAGAATTCATGTAATTGAGCCACCAAAAAATTAAAATCCTAAGATGGAAGAAATTAATTGTTAATTATGGCAAAGATTGAAGAAAATCAAAGAGAGAAAAAGAGTTACTTGTGATAGAGGAAGAAGATAATTGACTGATATTGTGAGAGGATTTTACAGAAAGAGATAGGAGAGAGAATAAATTGAGATGCGGTTGAGTTGTGTAAAGCCGAAAAAGCCCATGAGGACTTGGCGCAGTAGCATCAGATCTAACGGTGGGAACTCATTCTTATTTCTTTCATAAGATCTCATTCACACCAGAACCAAACTATATATATATATATATATATATATATATATATATATATATATATATATATATATATATATATATATATATATGTATATATATATATATGTATATATATATATATATGTATATATATATATATGTATATATATATATATATATATATGTATATATATATATATGTATGTATATATATATATATATATATATGTATGTATGTATGTATATATATATATATATATATATATATATGGGATTGACTCGAGTGAGATGACACCTTACGGTGAGATGACATGTTTCGGTCAGATGACACAAAGCTCACCACACTTGACCGAAGAATGTCATCTCACCGTAAGGTGTCATCTCACTGGAGTCTATATGTAACACCCTAATCCGTCCAGGTCTGCAGCCCCTTTCGAACTAAAGTATTAACTTGGTAATCGTAAAATTTAAAACATTTCAAATACTTTTATTCATCATCATAAATATTATTTAATACATAACTGTAGCAAAATACGGAGTGTTTAACAATAATGCGGAAGCAATTTAAACCATGTTTAATAACAACACAATTATTTATTTAAAATCACAAATTCCACCACGACAGTCTCGCCCCATCCGCTACCAGGATCATGCCAATCATAAATTCTGCCTACCTGCGTGTTGCAAATAAAACATACTACATGCTCAGCGGTGAAGCTGAGTAAGCATATCTAAAGCGTCGAACATCCACATAAATTGAATCTCAATTCATAAATAACCATTTGATATCATGCACACAATATATAATTCATTCATGATATTCTCAATGTTTTTTTTATTTCAATATCTCAATAATCAACATTTATGTTCAATATTCAATATCCTTAAACTATGTTTAGTCTAAGGCCAATCTTTTGATGTTTACCAACTCTTAAACTAGGTCATTAGTTTAAGGTACATATATTCCGATTGATTTACCAACTCTTAAATTAGTCTTCGCTTAAGGTACAAATCCAGAAAACCAAACAGTAGAATACTAGCTGTCGGGTTGGGTGGTATCCCCAAACGAGTTCCTCTAGTTTGGTTTATTGATCCCGTACGTACGTTTTTACCCAAGGCCACCGAATATACGTTTAATACCCGCAAGGCCCATTCTAATCAGAGGTCTATCTTAGAGGTCTTCTAAGTAGCCTTAACCATACAATTCATTGATTCATTATTCTCAATTTAACAATTCATGATCGTCATTCAGAATATTCCTCATCATTAATTCATCACAATCCATAATCAAACAATCATCATAATATTTAATAACAAATAGCGGCCTAGCATCGAATGTTAACACCCGAACTTACCGTCATGCATCACATAATGTTTTACATGTCAAAACATCATTTTTATTGTACAAAATCATATTTATATTATTCATAATTAATTGGTATCAAAAATAGGATTTCATAGTTCAAAAATCATGTTTTCTAAACAATAATTGATTAATATATGATAAAAAATTCAATTATTAACTACTAGCTTCATTTTCTTCAATAGTGTAGGGAGACAGTTTACTGTCACTTCTGATAATCTACTATCTAATAATCGATTATCACACTCTGATAATCGATTATCAAACTTCAGAGAGGGCTGATAGTCGATTGTCACATTCTGACAGTCGACTGTTGCCCAGCTCTGTTCCAAAAATATGCAGAATGATGAATAATCGATTTTCAAGTTGATAATCGATTATCCATCGTCTTCTACCTCGATCCAACTTGCGGAAATGTCACTTTTACTTACCAAACTTCAATTTAAGTATATAAAAGTGTTCTCTAAGGTTCATAGATCATTTTGGCATCATTAATTCGTAGTTTTAACTTCAAAATCATGGTTTGTGATTATTAGTTCCTCAAGCATGTTAAATACAAAACTCAACCAAATGACCATTTATGAACGTAAAAACAACCTATATGAACATTCTAGTCATTAGATATATCTACGGGCTTACCTTGAAGCGTAAGGGAGGTTTTAACGATTTTCCAGCAAAACTTCCGGCGAGGTTTGTGGCTAGCTCCGGCAACCTCTCAACAAATTGACAGCACCATAACACTCCTCACACTCTCAGGAACATAATAGGAAGAAGAATTGTGAAGAATGGTGAAGAAATGAAGAAGTTAGCTTCTCCTTTTATAGGGAAGATGATGAAGAAGAAGACACTTGCTGAGTAGATGCTGCGTAGACTTCCAAATTCACGATCTTCATTTGGCTGAGTGGAGTAGAAGACGATATATATATATATATATATATATATATATATATATATATATATATATATATATATATATATATATATATATATATATATATATATATATATATATATATATATATATATATATATATATATATATATATATATATATATATATATATATATAGGGATTGACTCTCGTGAGATGACACATTATAGTGAGATGACATGCTTCGGTGAGATGACGCAAAGCTCACCACACTATACTACAAAGCTCACCAATTGACAATACAAAGCTCACCTAGAAATAAAGTAAAGCTCACCACTTTGAATACCAAAACTCACCTTTTTTTTAAATTTTAAATATTTAAATTAATAAAAAGTAAAATGGCAACATCGGTCAACCACCGGTCATCGGCGGCGGGCGGTGGCGGCGACAGATTCCGGCGACCGGCGGCGGCAGGCGGCGGATCCCGGCGACCGACGTCGGTTTCTGGCTGCCGGTGGCGGCTTCTGGCGGCGGCGGCAGATTTCGGCAACTGGCGGCGGCAGATTCCGGCAACCGGCGGCGGTTTCTGGCGACCAGCGGCAGTTTCCGGCAACCGATGGTGGGGGCAGATTCCGGCGGCCGGTGGCGGATTCTGGCGGCCGCCGCCGGCGGCAGATTCTGGCGACCGGCGGTGTCTGGCGGTGGTAGGTGGCGGTCAAAGGTCTCGGTCAACGGTCAAAGTCCAGTCAACACCTATTTCTTTGATTTTATTTTTTCAAAAAAAATTCAAAGTGTTGAAAAAATATGGTGAGCTTTGCCTTACAATTTGGTGAGCTTTGTAGTTGTCCTAGGTGAGCTTTGTGTCATCTGACCGAAGAATGTCATCTCAGCGGAGTCAATCCCATATATATACATATATATATATATATATATATATATATATATATATATATATATATATATATATATATATATATATAAACGAAAAAGAAACCACTAATCAGTGGGGTAAGGTTCACGCCATCCTTACCAAGTAGATTAAAGCGGGGAATGTACAAAAAGCGTTTGGGCCAACCCGACAACAATGTTAGGAAAGGCCCAAGAAGGAAAAAAGCCAATTACAATCAAATGAAAAAATACATGAGGCAACGCTAATCAATCTGCTTCTTCATTGGGAAACCTGCATGATCATCTAGAGAGGTAAGGTTTGAGATTTAGAGCTTGAATATCCTCGTCTGCTTCTGCACCTTTTTATTTGACCAGTACTAGTGCTGCACTAATTTTTGAATCTCTATGATAATTCCCATATTTGTGATGTTGCGTTCTTCATAAATGCTTCAGTTATAAGCCTTCCAGAGATTCCATATGATGCATCCAGGTAAGATGAGCTTGAGTAGACCTCTAATAGTGTATTTGTTGTAATTCTCCCACCATTGAAGCATATAGTTGCTTAGGTCTGTGCCCTGAGACCAGTTAGGCTCCCCTACATAATCTGCAAAAGCCTTCCAAATTTGTTGAGAAAGGATACAAGTAAGTAGGATGTGTTGATCAGTCACTTCCTCTTTTGCGCAGAAGGGGCATTTGCTAGGCAGATTATAAGATAGTTTCCTTAGAATATTAGGAAAGGGAAGGAAATGATGAATAGCTTTCCAGGTAAACAGCTTGATCTTGGGGATTTGGAATTTGTTCCAGATAAGAGTGTTCATTCGAGTACTGATATCTCTATCCCTTACAGCCCAATATGCCTCTTTGAAAGTAAATTTCCCATTAATCCACTTGGGAGTGGAACTGGTCATGGATGTGTTTTGCAGGCCAATTGTTGAAATTCTACAGATTCTTTTCCAGGAGGCAGAGTCATACAATTTGGTCTCAAATAATCCATCCCTGTAGTATTTATCCTTCACATAATTAGACCATAAAGAATTGGCATTAATCACCTTCCACCATAACTTCAAAGCACAAGCCTTCTGTAAGTCCTCCAAGCTTCTCAGCCCCAGTCCTCCTTCCCCTGTAGGCTTGCAGAGAGCAGTCCTGCTCTATCAAAGTACCTTGTACCTCCGTCCACACCAAGGCAGCTTCCTAATTAAAAATGTTTAAACTACTGTTTCAACCACTCGAACTATTGGTTCGACCAGTAAACTAGTCAACTAGTGCCTTGACCGGTTCGATCACCGGTTTGGTTCTGAAAACTATGGGTGTACCCCTAGCATTTTCCAAAAAAATTTAATAATGAAAAAAGAAATGAATGATTAAGATTGATGATGTACAAATGAGGTACCCCAAATGGTGTACCCCTAGCATTCCTCAATTTTTTTTCTTTGTGTAAAGTAAAACCAAAGAAGCCTCATATTAAACGACGTCGTGGAAATGGGATGCAAGAATTTGGTTTATCTTGTTCATGAAACCCTAGCTTTGATCTCCAGGGTTCATCCTTGCACCAAATTGAGTTTGTAGAAGTAGAACACTATTGACTTGTGGATAATGAGGCCATTCTCATTGAGCAAGGGACAGTTTTGCTCATCATCGGACGACGAAGAAGACGACAACGATGATTCAAACGCTGAGGAAAATTCCGAGCTGAAATCATCCACCCTACGATCTAACGACGAATCTTCTAAAGGTAGGTATCGATATTTGTTCCAGCTTTTCTGCAACCTATTTCTTATTTCAAAGAATTTGTAAACTGAATTCTAGAATCTCTGTTAGCTGGAAGCAGCTCATTGTTATCAATATTCGAATTCCAATCATATATTTGATAGCGGGTTAACACATCTGTGTGTGTGAATGTAGTTGGGAGTTGGAAGCGAAAGAGAAAGGGCATAGACTTCGAAGCTCTGAAGAAACATGGATACAAAGGTGGATTATCTGTTCTGAAAGTGCCGGATCCGAAAGTAGGAGACGAGAAACAAGATTGGTCGTGGTCAAACGGGAAGGATGCGCGTTCAGGGGAGAAAGAAGAAACATATCATGACCGGCTTAAGACAAGGGATGCACTTGTTGAAGCAGAGCAGTTGGTTCATGCTCGTACTCAGAAAGAGAAAAACCTTTCTTTCTCACAGAAGGAAAAGAGGAAGAGGGATATGGGGCAGGCTAGCAGAGGGAAGAGCTATGTTGAAGAGGAGAAGAGGTTGCTAAGAGAGAGTGGCATTTACTCAGGTTTTGATTCTTGATTCATCTCACTTTAGTTATTTATTATGGGAATGTTATATAAACAAAAGAATGTGTGGATTTATAATGTCTTTTCAAATCCAGTTTATGTGCAAGTTTTTAGTCCAGTCCTCATTGTATATCATCACCCTAATAGCATGCTTCAAAATCTGTGGTGTTCTAAGAAATTTCTTGTCTTGCAAGTTGCAAGACTTTTAAAAGAAGATGCATCTTGTATGTATGTGTTACTACAGCTCGTGTTCTTATATTTGTCTTCCTTCATCTAAGATCTTGGAATTGGTGTTAAAGTTGTGTGTATTATCTTGTACTTTGATAGGGATGTACCAAGAGACATTGTATAACTTCAACAATTGCTTTCCTAACTAAAGTCACTACAGAGATTTTCTTTACTGGCACTATTAATCAAAACTCTACTTTTTATAACCCCTGCTTCTCCTCTTTTATTTCACCAGAGAATAGAAAATTGAGACTAGAAACACCTGAGGTAACCTTGAGGCTTCTTCTCTCAGCAATTTTCCTAAGGTCATTGACCATGCTGATTCCACTTGTATCAATGTTGCCAACAGCTGCAAATCATTAATAAAGAGTGTAGGATGTAAGATTTTGGAATTGTTGGTGTTTTGGGCATGGTGTTTTCAGTGTAAATGGAAAAAACCTTAAAGGGCAGTTTTAGAGTTCTGTATCATTATTGGTTCGTCACGACTCTCTTGGAAGGGCATAAAACATAAACCTTTGTGTTGAACTAATTTTAGGCAATTCATTGACACTAAATTTCACACCACCATCCCAATATATTTAGGATTGGGACATGGGATTAAGGTTGTGGGAAGGTGTTTTGTGTGTGGTAGTCTGGTAGAAGTTGTAATGAGATTTGGGTACCGAACTGGCCCATATTACATGTACGGAGTATGTTGAAACATATTAAAATATTGAAGAGACAGAGTGCTTCTATTAGGTGCACCATGGACTTTCCCGCCCAGAAAAGTTAACAAAATAAAGTAAATGCATATCGCAGTTACTGGTTATATAAATAAAAAAAAGTACATGTTATCTTATATGTAATCCAGGTGCATATATGATTTTACCAAAATTAAATTCATTTGATTATCTTGATTAATCCAACGTGTGATAAGGCAAGATGTATACCTTTACATGTATAATAGCCATCCACTGACCTCCAGTATCAAGGATCAGATACTTGCAACCTGACCTCTAGTATCAAGAATAAAGTAAATGCTTATCTTTTCCCCTCATATGCTTCTTGTTGATAGCCAAACAAACTGGTAAATGGATCATAAAGTTGAATGTTAGGAGGTATTCTGTCTGCATGCATGTGTTAGTGTGTGGGTGTAGACCAACATCACAACAGCCGTGACACAAAGCTTATACCGTGGAACGGGTTCACCAAGCTCTTGGAACACCTGTACGGCTGTACCCTTTAATATATACTCTTTTCATCCCCAGATTGAAATCATTCTTTCCCTTGAAAGGAAATATGCAAAGTGCAACTTAATTGTTGGGATGCCGAAAAATGAAAAGTGTGACTTTAATTTAAGAACATATGGAGTATATGCACCGCACATGACTAATTATGTATCTCACTTATAGTTCGGTGCTCGCATTCTTGTGTTAGTCTTCATTTGGTAACATAGTTTGTGATTAGCATTAGCGTTTTGCATAAATTTTTTAATGGTACATATTAACTTTCAAAAAGTTCATGCTAAAAGTACCTATTGGCTATTGGGTAACATTTTCAAAGCCTAAAGTTAAACACTAAAGTTAATGCCAAATGAAGCCTTAGTATACAAGGTTTTCTAGTTCAAACTTCAAGGTACATAGATTATTTTAAAATTTCGCACACACACACGAGGTGTTTGATGGTTGAAGAACAAGCTCGTGCCCCTGCCACGACATAATCTCTTTGATAAAAAATCTTCTTGGTGAGCTCGACATTTTGGTGTCACGGCCTCCCTTGCCAATTTGTGACAATTTGGGCACTGTGTAGCCGTGTAGGATGTAAAAATTCAGTTTTCCACTCTTGTTTGACTCATCTTTCTCTGGACTATATCTTGTCTGTAACCTAGTGCTCTTCAATGTTCAAACCCCACCAGCTTCATTTTTTTTCTTTGGTTTCGTGTCAAGCTTGATGTCACTGGTGGAATTTCAATCCTGCAAGGCATACTAAAGATAATATTGATAAATAATCCTCAACTAACTAATCACACTGGGTTAGCTCCACAATATCTCTTCATATTATCTTCTTAATTATCCTTTTATTACATTATCTCTGGTGGTAGTTGATGTACTCTACTATACTTGTGTACTACCCCGTATATGATGGCATGGACAACAATTCAATGAATATTATATTATACTCGCATTTTTTTTATATCCTTACCTATCTGTCTAGTGGCTACTTCAATCAAGTAGCCGATGTCATTACAATAATTCTTTCCTCTACACATCATCTTTTGTTACATTAGCTTGTTATGCTTTGTAGTTCATAATTACTCTTTTCACGTTCTAATTTAAGTTGTGTGTTCACTATTTACTAAATCAAACTGTAATTACTTTCATTACTCATTTTCGATATTCATTTGATAAAATGCTACTGTATTCTTTTATACAAAGTAGAACTATAGATTTACTTTTTAAATTTATACTCCGTAAATCTTATTTTTGAATTCCAAACAAATTTCATATAAAATGAATTGAAAATAATTTCAGTCAAACATCATAAACTGATATAGGCAATATAATATGGGACAGAGGGAGTAGTAGTTATTTAGCAAACATTTTTTTTTATTTTTCCATTTCCGATTTTAGATTCCTTAACAGGGTCCAACAGGTCGTGCATAGTAATGTCTTAGCATCTAAGGCCCAAGGCGTTGCCCAACAGTTTTTTGTAACTGGTTGAAGGTATTTAGGAAATCACCATAAATAGTGGAGTAGTAAAACATAGAAAAAATACCAAAAAAGAAGTTTCATATTTTCATTCCTTAAATAAGAGTTTGCATTGTGGTAATATGGTATTGTAATGATAATTTTACTATACTTTTTGGTAATGTACATGGTCATGATTGGTAATGTAAATGTATTTTAACTCCTATTTTGGCAATATAAATATGAAACTCTAACTTTGTTATACTTTCAATATTATACTCCTATTTTAGTCTTTTTTTTCCAAGGTATTTTGTTTGAAAATTTTGATTAAGAAAATCATGAATTTGATATAATAAAATAAATACTCCCTCGGTCCAAAAAAGAATGCAACAGTTCCTCTTTCATGCATTGGATAACTTTTGTTTGTTTACTCGTTTCGGATGACTATTTGATAAATAAACTATTCATGATTGATGATGTGAATTATCGACAGGTATATCGTTTTAGCCCGGCAAAAACGATAAACTAGTCTAAAAAATACACCAAAATATAAACACAGATATTTTTACGTGGAAACCCAAATCGAGAGAAAACCACGATCTTTTTGGCGGTACCTTGCCAATAGGGGATTTTTATTGATATTGGGGGTGTGTACACGGTACATGATTTAGGCTTAGAAGCCATTAATGGAAGCTTGAAGCTTCTTTGAAGAAATAAAATATACACACTAAGGCTTTCTAGAGAGAGAGTAAATGGGCAGGAGATGGTTGTAAGAAAATGGCCTCCTCAACATTAAGGGGGAGCCCTTCTTTTATAGGAGTAGCTGGAGCATCTTCGGAGGAATATTCTCTTATTCCTCCATTTTATTAAACAGGCCCGGTTTGACTGTTCTTCGTAAATAATTGGGAAATATGGGCCGAGCCACGTATTATTTCCCATCAATGATTAAGAAAAGCATGAATTTGATATTACGTATAATACAAAAAATTACTTTTTCTTTCTCTAACAATTTGTAAGTAAAATGATTTTTAAAAGAGATGATATTTTGCATGTTCTTCGAAATGTTGTAAATAATTAGTGATAAAGGGTGTAATAATTTAGATTTTCCACTTTTAGAGCTACTTCCTCCGTTCACCAAAATGATCTCTATTTTGACTAATGAGAGAAATACTCCCTCCGTCCCTGAGTGTTTGTCCATTTTCATTTTTGCACACCATCCAATGCACTTCTTTAATCCATTTTATCTTGTAATTTGTATATTAAAAAATTATAAACATTATATATTAATAATCTATATGTTAAGACAAATCAAACAAGATCACACATGACTATTTTTAGACTTACACATTAAGAGAATTTGATGAGTCAAAGTGCTTAGATGAACAGTTCCAAAAGTCAAAAGTCGACAAACACTCGGGGACGGACCAAGTAAGAAATTATATTTATAGTTGACTTTTCAATTTTGTCATTCATGTGAAAATTAAAAGTAAGATGTGATAAGTACTGTAGATTATTAGTGAAAAAGTATAGTATGATAGATAGAAAAACGGAAGGAGTAAAACATTACACCCTAAATTTTGAACTTCACAATTTTGTGTCAAAAATTGTCTGTAAAGAGTGTAAACAAACGCTACATAAAATTTGTTTTTGCAATTTAAAATTTTAATTGACATGTAAGTTTTGTCTCACTATGGTGTATGTTACAAGGCTGATTTTGCCATCTTGACGTTGCCAAAACCATTCTAATTTTAAAGGACCAAGTGTGTACTACTACTTGTGCGGAGTACTAAGAAAAAATACAAAAAAAAAAAGAAGCTAGATGAGCAGGAAGCATGTTTCGTTTTTTCCCTTCCCCGCACGCGGGGACGGTGTTCGTGCGCTGTATGGCTGCCACCTTAGCTTCCCGTCGCCCCTTCCCGCAGCATACCCCATGGCCTAATGACATACACGGTATATGAAATCATAGACACCTCATATATGCAATGAATTAATATAAATATGTATACCTTCTATCCCGAAATAAAAGAGGCAATACTATTCTCAAGATCAATTTTTTTTCTTTTTTAACCTATTTTCATCACTTATTTGATAAAATAAAACAGTATCATCATCTTTAGTTTTATAAAGATCTTTAAATGTAGTTTTATAAATATATAGAATTAATTTTTTATTTTTATTTCTACACCAATTTTTAAATAAATTTAATCAAAAATAACTTTATTTAAACATCGTAAATCGAACACCTTTTAATTTAAGCTTTACTAGCTTCAATACGATTCAAGGGCGTAACTTCCATCTCCAGTTGATTCCAATGTGGTGGGATCTTGTTCAGATTTACTTTTCTGATTTTCCAATCCACACTTCCATCACCATTTTCCTAAAGTCTTTTTCTAGGATCCCAAACCAACACTTAAATTACTTTATTTCCTTATATAGAAAGGTTCATGATACTCTTTAAATACATGATGGAATCATGGAATCACTCATAACATACTCCTAAATGATAGACCACCCATTAGATAAAAACCAATTGAAACAACCCCGGATAAGTCATAAATCAATGCTTTTACAAGGGAGAGAGTGATCTGGTTGGTGATAATAGCAATCTTAAAAATAACCTTCAGTCCTTCCCTTGAAGCCAATCTGTCCAAAAGTGAGACAGAGAAACAGTCCCAAATGCCACCACAACATCCACCACCTGTACACAGCCCCACACCAAATTAATGAAGTTCAATTGGGGTCAACAAATTGAAAATTGCCTCTTCTCTTTCATTTCTAGATAATGACTCTCAAAATTCTTAAGTATTCATGCACTTGTGACAATCTTTTGTGACATATACAAGTGTAAAACTATTAGTGTAACACCAGTTTCGTTGAAGCAGAGATTGGCATAGAAGCCTATGTGTGTGACTGTTTTCACATGAAAGACTTTGGAACTTCGAACTTTTTCTTGGCATAAAAGTGGCACGAAACACCTCGAATATTTTCTCATGTCAAAGAAAATATGCGCTACATATTATTTCCGAGACTGGACTGCTGGGATCGAGACCTTTGGGTTCTCTAATTGAACCTAAACATTGTCTTGCTCTGTCTCAAATTAAGTTCTTTGCTTCTTGATCAAGAGAAATATCACGGTTTTATCCATTACTCGTCATGAACGTACTCTCTTATGCAGTCTATACCCTAGCACAGTTCACAAGGAATTGCGAGATGAATATTGGACTGCCGCTCTAGGTGTGTGGTGAGATATTTGAAAGGATGTCCCGAAAGTGGCATTCTACTTTCTTCAGGAAGCAATTTGCATCTGACAAGATTGACAAGATGTTGTGATTCAGATGGGGCAGACTGTCCTTTGGCTAGGAGATCCTTGACTGAGTGGTTTGTGGAGCTCGAGGATTCTCTTGTATCTTCGAAGACAGAAACAAACGATTGTGGTGCCCTCCTCGGTTCAAGCATAATATTTGGCCCTCGCTATAGTCACTTGTGAATTAAAGTGGCTAAAAGGACTGCTTCATCCTCTCGATGATGGTCATCGTGATCCTATGAGTATTCACTACGATGGTACTGCTGCATTAAACATTGCTCCTAATCCAGCTTTTCATGAGAGAATGAAGCATATAGAGATTGATTGTCATTTTCTTCGAGATGAGATTTTACGAGGGGTCATCCATACTAGCCATGTCCCTATTTACTTGCAGGTTGCAAATATTTATACCAAGGCGTTATTAGGAAAGGTGTGCATGGAGTTTGTTATTCCCAAGTTGGACTACATTTCGCTCTTACATGCATTATAGCCACACATTTGGATGGGGGCTTAGGGTGGGGCTGGGGTGGGGGGTTTAGGGGGCGGGTTAGGGGGGGTAGGAACCATCAATTTTGCGAACGGAGCACCGGAGATGTTCCAAAAATGCAGAGGCACCATTGGCCAGTGTCAACGGAACCATGCCCATTTATGTAAGGGTAAATGTGAATAATCACCATTCATTTTTTTTCTCTAGCATTAATATATATCCCTCCGTTTCAAAATGATTTTCCTCTTTACAATTACAAATTCTTGATAATTTTTGTTTGTTTGCATGTTTTCATTGATCGTTTGATAAAATAAAATATTCTTGACATCTCTTTTTTTGCAGATCTTTTGATGTAGTTTTTTAATATGTAAGTTTTATTTTTTTTATTTATATACTAATTTATAAATAAAATCATTTTAAATATCACAGAATTTTTCATGTTGTTCGAATAGGGAATTTCATTTTGGTAGGGAGGAAGTATGTCAGGTCGAATCTAAAAAAATCTTAAAGGAAGAGAGTAATAAACCGAAAAAACAGACAATCATGTTAGTTAATATGATAATAATGTAGTTGATGAGTAACTAACCAGAAGTCAGAAGTGAGAGCTGGGCCAGTGGGCCAATGGGCCAACTCAGTGCCAATGCTGTGAAAGAAGAGCCCAGTCAAGCTCTTACCATTGATAGCTGGAATGCTGGATGGTGCAACCCATCCTATCAGCCCAAACCCAATCACATTCAGGTCACTCCTCAACCAGTCTTTCTCGAACTTTCCACTAATCACAACATAAAACATATACACACAAAACTATAGGAGTAAGTTTTATAACACAATTAATGTGAGATTTACACATTTTCAATGGCTCTGATCTAATAACAAAGAAGGAGTTGATCACCTTGTAAGTTTCTCATTTGAGGCTCTTGGTACCCTTAGAGGCTTCCTTACTGCTACTGCTGGTTTCAAAAAGTCGGTTACAATAAAGAGATGCATACTACTTATTCTGTCCCTCTAAGATTTTTTTTGTTTTGACCTTTTGTAGTTTTTAAAGAGAGTTGAAAAGGGTAAAAGTTCACCAAAATACCCTTAGATAGTGTTTGGCAACTAGCATTTCAATTCATGCATTTCAATTCCAAAATTTGAAATCCTGAATTTCAAATGACAAGGAGAGGTGCATGGATTTCATATTAAGCTTTGTTTTGAATGTAAAGAATTTGATTCAAATCCAAATTCCAAATGCTTAAGTTTCCCAAACATGGATTTTAAGCCAAATCCGGATTTGAAATCCAAATCCATGTTCCCAAACATACCATTAATGAAAATGGGTTGAGTAAGAAATAAAGTGAGAAACAAAGATAAGTGAGGTGTAAGAAATAAAGTTAATAGAGGTTGTGGTATTTTACATATTAAAAAAGATAATGGTAAAATCTGTGAGAAGCAAATAATTATAAGGACTAATAGGAATATGTATGAGGCTTTACTTAAAAAAGAGGATGAATCCCATCCTAGGGTCCCTAAGGTTTGCCCAGGATAATCCATTGAGAAGAGGTAAATGAAGCTATAATCTGTTGTGAGCTTTAGGCAATGAAATTTGTCCCTAGTCCCATCTAAGACTTTAATGTAGAGCATAATAAGTCCCGCACTATCATTGCTAGGGGTTGAACGTGACCAGAATCTCCTTTTGCATTCCCTATTGACCATTTGAGCTACGTTCTCAACCAAATGTATGATTACTCAATATTAAAGTTGGAAGAGATTTACGAGTTTCAATTGGCTATGATATGAGCACTTATTGTAGAGATTTATTGAGTTTGAAATTGTTAATTTAAATCCAGTAGGCCCTGGTGCGATAATAAAATTTTAAATTTGGACGACTAGAACATCTCCCCTTGTTTGAGTGGTAGGAAGTCCATTTCCCAAGATTTATGAGGAAATTTACCCAGATCCGAGCTCCAGAGGTAAAGACGTTGGTTTTTTGTGTATCATTAGATTGAGAAAAATATGAACAAATTCTATATCGTAATAGAGTTGATAGTACTAATTGGACGGATTAATTTGATGAGTCCAGAAGCACCACCTTAATAAGTTGGATGTTTTTTTGGGAAATAGTTGAATGTTGATTTAAATGTATGTATTCAACTAACTCGGATGTGTGATGGTTTAGCCAACATTAAGCCTTGTTTCTATTATCTTCATCCCAAATTAAATTGTCTATTTCGATTTACAATCTTTGAGTAAACTTATTTTCTAGACAATTTATTTGAAAATTAGGTGAAATTAAAAAATAAAATTTACATATTTAAAAAAATATCAAAAATTGTACAAAACGAGAAGTGACATGACTAATAGGGAAATTTGATCATGTGAATAGGAAACAAACAATTTAAATAATTTTCTTTTTAATTATTTTTGTCACTACAAGAGTATTTATTTTGAGCCTTAAAAAATTCTGTGAACAAGTGAGTGAAACGGAAAGAGTAATAAATAATGCAGCGACTAAAGGTGCATATTCATACTCTAGTAGTACCAACAAGTAGGGGTGTAAACGGATATTAATCAGATCGGATGTGCCATTACCAAATCCGTATCCGTTTATTTTTGTCGGATACCGAATTCGGATACGGATTTTGACGGATACTGAAAATCAAAACCGTATCCGCATCCGTCGGATATCGGTCGGATATCGGATAAATCCGTATCCGTTTCTAATTTTTAAAATCAAATTAAACAATACTTTAATTTTAAATTAGATTAAAGTCAAACTATTATTAAATCAACTATAAGTTGGTATGAGATTATTATTTTCTTTGTTTTCATGATTTATAATATTTTACGATAACTTCATATAATAAAACGATATACACAGCACACATATACACATATTTTTATATGTTTGTATTTATTTTTATGTGTCTACACATTTATTTTGTATATAAAAATGTTTTATATTTTGAAATATCAATAGAGAAACAAATTATAAACATAAAAAATTAGGAAAAACTATATATAACGGATCGGATATTCGGATAAACGGTTATTTAAACGGATGCATATTCGGATCGAATTTTAAACGGATCGGATATACAATTACCAGATCCGTATCCGTTTAGTAATCGGATATCCTTAATCGGATACGGATAATATCCGTTTAAAACGGATGCGGATATTTCCTCTTTAAACGGATACGGATGCGGACGATAATCGGATTTTCGGCTATCCGTTTACAGCCCTACCAACAAGGCTATTTTGGGGGGTATAGCTATTAGCTACGCCGGATTAAAAGAGGTAAAGAGCAGACCAACCAAAAAGGAACTAAAGAAAGAAAGACGGATCGTGTTAAATGTTAATTAAATTAATTACCAGAGGAGAGAAAGGGTGTGTGTGGGGAAAACGCCGCCGCCGCCGCCGCAGCCCTTGAAGAAGATGAAGTGGTCGTCAAGCCAAAAGCATAAACAGCGGCATAATTACATGCTGCTCCTGCTGCCGCCATTTTTTACTCCTCTTCTTCTTCTCCTGAACTCTAATAAAGTGAATATGATACGTACACCTTTTTTATTTTTTATTTCTTTGTGATGGACCGAATTTGCTAGGATGGGTTGCTGACCAATGCCACCTTGCCACGTGGACTTTTATTCCGTATGTGGATAAAATTTGAGGATCTCTCTTTTTTGTCCTATCTCTTACACCACCTCATCAAAGGTTCCATGACAAAAAAATATAGTGTATAAAGTCCTAACATTATGTTTGAAAAAAAAAATTCTCTCATTTTTTCTCGTCAAAATTGGAGAAATTTGGTTATCCTTTCACTCTGTACACTTTATCTTCTCATTTTCTTTTCCTTTCATTTTATTTTATTTTCCTCCAACCAAACAAAAAAAACTATTTTCCATCTCATTTTTTTTCCTTTTAAATTTCTTGAACCGAACATGGTGTGATGAAAATAAGAAAAAAAATGAATAAAATTTAATCGTATAAATAGTAACTGAGAAGATGATTTTAAGATAGAAAGAGTATAATGCAAAAAAGCTATTTGCCCACCAATTTGCAAAAAAGCTATTTGCCCACCCCTTACCACATTTTTTTGGTGTGAACACAAAAATGAAGTAGGGAGGGGTAGGGTGCAAATAAGTATTTAACTTTAACTTGTTGCAAAGGTTGTATCTCCAATCCCAAGGGCACCCCACACCCTGATCCGACGAGGTATGTGGAGAGAAGTGAACCAGAAATCCAATGACCCGTTAAAGAGGGAGGTCAGGCCCACAAACATGCAAGGAGCTCATTCTTTTAGTCCAAAATAGTCTCAGAATATCACTCACACACTACACAGCGTACACGCAACGGAAAATCGACCCATAGTCCCATACACCTTGTTGCAAATCTGCCCCTTCCGGAATCAATTGGGCTATGCTTTGCGGGCAATTAGTGTCTAACTTGATATACCTCTAAAATTACTCAAAAAGCTAAAAATTGTATACTGAACAAATTTATCACTTTTTTTCTAAATGTCTCAAAATAAAGTTCACTCTTTACACTTCAGTAGTGCCTCACAAACCATGTCAATGAACGCATTATCCTGCAACAATAATTAGAGTACAGAGTGCAGATCTCAGGGGTGGTATGTGGGTATTGTAGTACTAAACTTTGCCATCATGTCAAGAAATAGAATCACAAGAAGGCGATGAACCATTACCTGAACAAGAATGAGAAGGGCCTCGCGGATCTTATCTCTGCTAATCACAATCCCATTGTTTGGAGGAGCAGCAGGAGTGAGGGATAGAGGGGGTGAAGGTGGAGGATATGGCTGAAGCAAAGGGGCACCATATGGGCGCCCTACAGTCCCAGCAGGAGGCTGAAGTGGAGGAGCAGTGGGCATAGATGAAGGGGGTGAGGGTATTGTTACTAATGCGGAAGCGGAAGGATTCGGACCAAAAAACAAAGATGGCATTATCAAATTTGTTGACCTTTTACTGCTACTGTCTTCTGCTTCAGGCGGTGCCTCAAAGAGATGCATTGGGTTAGGCATTACAACAGGTTGAGTCTGAACGTGTGCAATAGGGGTACGAGTGTCATTCTGAGAAAATGGAGTTTGAGTAGTGCTTGCAGATGAATGAGAATGATGTCCGGGAAATAGTGAATTGGAAGCGCTCCCAATTGACATTGCGGACTGCAAAAATAATAATAATAAACCTTGGTACATCACCGTAAGTACAAGCTCATCCATCCACACACACACGGAGCATAGCTTAACAGAGTTACAAAGTGCACCAAAAAAGTTAGTGGAAAATCATACGCTGAAAAAGTTCACAAAGTTATGCTCATCTGGAGTATCTCTGCGATTAGAAGTGGTTGCATTTGGTGGCTCCAAGGGACCATCAATTACATCCATACTTGGAACTGCTTCCAGCTCTTCAAATTTGCTATATTAGGATCAAGAAGTAAAATGAATGTTTAGCATTCTTCTAATTCTAAAAAAGTAATCAAGTAATTCTAACAACCACAACAACATCTCTACTATAAGCTCCTTCAATAATATTTAACAAAACAAAGGATTACACTTGGTTGAGTTTTGTCATCTCTTCCTCGGTTCCTATATTCTCTTCCCGGTTTGACTTGGCAATAAGCATTATCAACCACACAAATCTTTTCTTTAACACTATGTTTGGTTCAAGGAATTTGGAAGGAAAAGAAAAGAAAACAATTTTCTCTCATTTTCCTCACCAAAATGGAAGGAATTTGGTTTTTCATCCACTTAGTACATTTTGCCTTCTCATTTTCTTTTCCTTCCATTTTTCCTTTCTTTTCCTCTTGAACCAAACAAGAAAAAGTGCTTTCCACCTCATTTTCTTTTCTTTTCCCTTTCAAATTCCTTGAACCAAACATAGTGTAAAGGAAATTGTGAGGAAATTTGAAATCGAGAAGATAAATTTGGAATAGAGTGAGTATTTTCTTTCAAAGAGAAAAAGATGCCACTGGTCCGAATGGAGTTTTAGAAAAGTGTAGAAAAGTAAAAAGTGAGTTGTCGAAATTTTATCAGAAGAAAGACAAAGATTGTGGACCACATATTCTTTAATTTATTAGGAAAGTAAAGAAGTGAGACGATTGTTTTGGGATGGACTAAAAAGGAACGTGAAACGATTAATTTGGGGACAGAGGAAGTAATAACATAGAATAATTTGATTTCGATATCTGCATTGAAGTTTCTTCAATGTAATATTTCCCTTCAGTATTACCTCGTGACTGGAGGTACTTTTGACTTTGTAGGAACCTTTGAATATGCGTTTATAATCCTGTTGAAAAGCAAAACATCAAACGTTCAATTAGTCCCACATGTTAAAGTATCCAGGATTTAGATAGAGCAAGAGAGGTATAAGAGTGTTGAAGATTAAAAACAACCATTATTGAAGGTGGTATAAATCAAATATCCAACAGGACTGGTCAGATAATACACCAATTCTACTAGAGTAAACAAATCAAATAAGCTCAGTATATCCCACTCAAGACTAGTAAGTCCTCGATAACAAAACATACTCAGACGTTACCTATACTCCAAGGAGTAGAGAGGCTGTTTCCCAGAGGACCCCCCACAAAACCAATTCCACTAGTGTAGGTCTCAAACTTCCAAATATAGACAATGGTTCTCGATGAAACTGATGAAAGACAACTATAGCTTTGTTTCCATTAAAAAAATATTCTCTTCGACATAATTCATTATGAGATGTCCTGCTCACCATAAATTATCATCCAATACTGATCCGCAAATTTGACAGTAAAGTACTCCCTCTGCTTCCATTTTATGTGTTGTACTTTCCTTTTTACATGTCAATGTGTCATACTTCCCTTATTAACCGTCCCAATAATGTCAAGTTTTGAAAAATTAGCATCTAAACTATTTTATTTTTCCAACACTACCTTCAGTCTCTTTCATTTTCACATGGTGGGCCCTTTTAAAATTACAACCGTGTTAGACACTGACTTGTCCAGTTTTCTTGAAATAGTGAGCCATGTAGTGTAGAGAACAAATCCCAACCTTGAGAAATTAAAAGGAAAGAAGGGTAAGAGAGCTAAATGTGAAGCTTCCAAGGTCAGTGCATCATAGAGAAATGCAAAACCTCTATTGCAAGTACGAGTATTGCAGCAGAACAAGGAGCTGTCAAAGATAATTGATTGTTCAAATCTTAACTTCAATAAGCCTAGAAATTACAAATATCATTAACTTCTTGTGCTTGTTTGGAGCCAGGAAGACACAGTTCCAATCAGGCCACAGATTACACAGACCATCCAGTTCTTGGGCTCATTTGGAGCAAGGAAGACAACACAAAGATTCTACTGCTCATTTAGAGCAAGGAACACAACACAAAGATTCTATTGGCCCAAAAGTAATGAAGACCACCAATGGTCTAATCTCTAAGAGCAATGAATATCACAAAAAGTTTATTCCATTAGCATCATGATGAAATAGAAGTACAACGCTGAACAACATTCTCCATTTCAGCACAAATCTGTGTGGCCGGTGGGGATGGAAGATTTCACTTTTAGCGACATCCCACCCATGGGGTATTTGTGAATCGAGCAATCGACAGCATAACATTGCCACAATGTCTAATAGACTATATCCCACCAATTTGATTTTCTCATAGAAGAAATACCCATGGTCAAGAATTAAATATTTTCCCTTTCAACAAAAATAACAAATGAGTGCAATCGAAAGATTAGGAATTAATAGATTCTAAGATTAGTTTGTTTTGGTAACAATGTAAGTATGTAACGGAAAAGTCAGAGAGAAATTGTGGGGAACCCACCTACTCAAAGATATAAAGATGGTAAAATGGGAACAAACAAAATGATTCCTTCATTTCTTAAAAAATCGTCTTTGAACTAAACAAGGCACATAATTCAAGACTCTAGGAGCATTATTTAAAACTCAGAACACTCATATATGAGTGCCTTGACAGACTGTCTTCTCCATTTGAATACATTTTCCACAACATAACTCATATTTAAGTGAATATGGATATCCACTCTTATTATTATTATGTTGGGGTTCTTTTGACAACAAACCTTGTCATATTATGACAACAAGGTCTACGGTGCTCCAATAAAAAAAATTATAGTTCCAACCCCCCTAACCCAATCCCCCCTTCCTGGTCCAAAACGCCGATTTGCAACAGTAACACTGTTGCCAATCGGCATTTTGGTCGGGGGCGGGAGGGGTGCTGGGTAGGGGGTAGGGGTAGGGGGTTAGGGGGTGAGGATCATCAATTTTTTTATTGAAGCACCATAGCGATTGTTGTCATTATATGACAAAAATCATTGTTGTGAAAAGAAGGGATCTGTATTATTATTATTATTATTATTACTATTATATTATTATTTCCCTGATCATCCTTTGTCAACTCCACTGTTGACCCATGTTAAATCAAGAGGCATTATTATAACCAGTGGCGGATCCACTTGTTTGGAGTAGGGGGCAAATGCCCCCAACTAATTTTTTGTAATAAGGATAAAAATATTTTTTTAATAATTTTTATGTATATATGCCCCCAACAAAAATCAAAGTGAACCCATCTAATTAGGCCAAATTTAAATTTTTATTGTTTAATTTTTCTTAGTAAAGTGGTTATTATTGCATATAATTAATTGTTTATAAAATAAAATTTCACCTTACCTATTTAAAAACATTTTACATTCAATAAATATTTGAAAGAAAAATCATATTTATTTATCATTTCAAATAGTCCATAAAAAAATTTTGGGGGTGCTACCCCTGGACCCCCCATCAATGCTGCCCCCATCTACTTCAATTCCTGGATCCGCCACTGATTATAAGTTCACGCCTCTCAATGGTTCCTACAAAGCTTTAATCCATACATAAGCATTTTAACCTGAAGAATTTACTCCTGGGTTGCTGTTATTTTTGTGCTCTCTCAATTTCGCATGATTTCTCTATCTCTGTCTCTCTCTCATCTTCATCAAAGATGAAAAGGTTTGACTAGCATATTTTTTCTTCATTAGAGTACTTTTTTTAATTATTTTTAGTTCAGTACAGCACCCTTAAATTCAGTTCAATTCAGCACCTTCCAAATCAGTTCAATCTAGTTCACTGTAGAGTGTAGATCAGGTCAACTCAACACCTAATTTTGTTGTTTATAATTGATCAATATAATTTTAATTAATTTTATATGTTTAATATATAATATTTGAATAAGCTAAAAGGCTAATACAACAATAAAAAAATCAAACTAGTACAAAAGTTTTAACTGGTTTTCCTCAGTTACACTAAATACTACTCCGTACTCCACAAGTTTTTAAAATCTTAAAATATTAGTTGGTAAACGTTTCTTAACACCGTAATAAAAAAATTGTTTCAAACAGTCTCATAGTTCTAATTTAAATAATATCTTCAAGCAAATGAAATGTTGTCCATTGTCTAATAATTCTTCAATGACATTGAATATTTTTTCAACCATCTTAAAATCATAAATAAATTTATAAAAGTATTAGTCATAGCATGAGGTGAATTGTTGTTTAAATGTACTACTCCCTCCGTCCCTAAGTGTTTGTCCACTTTCATTTTTGCACATCATCCAATGCACTTCTTTAATACATTTTATCTTGTAATTTGTATATTAAAAAATTATAAAAATTATATATTAATAATCTATATGTTAAGACGAATCAAACAAGATCACACATGACTATTTTTAGGCTTACACATTGAAAGAATTTGATGAGTCAAAGTGCTTAGATGAACAGTTCCAAAAGTCAAAAGTGGACAAACACTCAGGGACGGACCAAGTAAATATTATACTGTGTAGTATTTTATACTAACAAATATGTATTTTACAGCCATTTAGAGCTATGAAATTACAATAATGCTCCTTGATTTAAGGTAACCATAAAGGATAACTATTTCAGGAAATTTCTCTATGATTGTGTGTCACCATTGGACCAAGACTGCATTATGCAAATTTCAATCGAAATACCCTCTCTTTCAAATCATAAATGCAAAATTTCCCTAGGAAAACATAAATGCAAAAAGCAAAAGCACACAGAGAAGAACTTGCCTATTGAATAGATTGGAAACTTCTTCACATTCATGAGCATTGTAAAACCATATACCATTCACTTCTTGGGCAGCATTCCGGTATAATAAATATGGAACCTGGACATCATACTCAAAATCCCCCAAAAGATCTTCAACTAAGTTGTCTGTGTATCAAAAAAGAACACGTACTTTCAATCAACATCATACATAAGATTAAAGCTTATATGAAATTACATGTGCAACATGTTTTTTCTTACATTACATTTCCAGAGTACAAAAGAAAAGGTTGTTTCAGAGTTCAGACAGATACAACCAATTAAAACTTCAAGTGTTTTTGTACCCCACACGCCACACCCAATGACCCCACCAATCAAAAAAATTCAGAAATAGATAACTTTTATGCACAAACATTAAATCACTTACATTCTTATACTGTTTAGGCATGGAATTAGATCCTCTGCATTAACTCCATGGTGTAAGTTACTACATGGACAGTCCACGTAAGATAACTCCACGGTGAAGTAACAACTGAGGATCCCAAATTTGGCATATATGGGATAAGTAATAATTTAACAAAAAAATATAAAGATAGAAGTAATAGAACTAAAGTCAATCTTCACCGCTTCACGAGGTGGCTTCTATTAGATATATTCAAGAAAAATCAAGAAAACCATAACCAACTGAAGTGGAAGCTTAAAAGACAACAAACCTGCATTTCTGCGATTCATTACGATGAACTGGAACCTAGGTTGAGAAGTCCTGCAGTTCCCACATATGTTGAAATCAGTGCTAGGTAAACAGCATGTCAAAGATCAATATAATATTCATTGAACCCCTAACAACTAACTTTCCTACTAAACCCACCTCTTAACAACAAAGAGAGATCCTTCGACATCCTTTCGACTCTGGAATAAATTTAATTAAAAAAATCAAATTTACAAAAACTAAAACAGAATAAGATAATCGCATACAGAGCTTGTTTGTGAGTACCCATTGGCTTGTCTCAATATTAAATTCGTAGAAGGTGACGTGCGCTGCGGTGAGGAGAATTTCCTCGATGAATGGATCCGTCCGTTGAAGGACGGTGAGGTTCAGCAACTTCGTGCTGTTCCGGTCAAGATTTGGCATCAATTTCCCGCTCTGCGACATTCCCACTGAGAGGTATAAACCCTAGAGCAATGGCCGTTGAACGTTGTGCCCTTGTACTCCTCCAACACAGTACTTTACCCCACACCACCCCTTTCTTTATTATCCATTTTTATTTTATTTTTATTTATTTATTTTTTTTGAATTTCTTCCTTTTTTTTATGGACAAGGAGGAGGTGGGGGACAAATGGGATACACTATTGGGTATATTTTAAACAGTCCCGCTTGTGGTGTACCCCAATTGCACATCATATACTCCCCCCTCCCCTCCTCCCTCACTAACCCCACTTTCTTTTCTTCTCTTTCCATCGCACTAATTCCCCATCTTCTCCCTCAACTCTCTCTTCCTCTCTAGATCTCCCATCTTTCTTTCTTCCCCGCCGGTGATCAACGTAACACCACACGTTCATCTTTGACGCCACAAAATTTGAACCTGGGATTCTCCGCCCCATCCTCTTCGCTGGCCAGAAGTTGCACGGCGTGAGTTCCCCATCGCCGCCTAGAAGCATCCAAGAGCGGCATCATCATCATCATCAAGATCTGGATCGGAGCAGGGCAACGAAAAACGCCTTCGATTCCTTCACCGCCACTTGTTTTTTCGTCATTGCTCGCTCCTCCCAGACCGCCATAATGACTTTCTTTGTCATTAATAGCGTCACCGGAGCAGTAGATTATGGCAAAGATGGGGGTGCTGTTTTGATTCAGATTATACAAATAGTAAATGTCTGTGTTCAAGAAAATAAAGACGTTTAGTGTCTGTGTGACTAAACAATATTAATTGTAATTTTTCTTTTCTTTTTTTAAACATAGAAAATTTTGTGAAATGTTCTTGGTACAGTACTATTTCGTAGATTTGAAGGGTGAAATGTTCATCTGAATTACACAAATAATAAATGTCTGTGTATCAAGCATTATAGATATTTAGTGTTTGTGTAACAAAACAGTGGTAATTATAATTGTTTTCTTTTTTACAATCTAGAGAGAATTGTGAAACATTCTTTATGAAAACATTATTTGGTATATTTGACATATGTAAATTTGTATTTAGGTTTTACAGACAATAAGTTTCTGTTTACGATGAATTACAGACGGTTGTTGTCTATGTGATCAAAATATACTCCGTACTTAGTTTATTTTTACAATATAAGAAAAAATCATGAAATATTCTTATTATTGTATTATTTGGTATATTTGACAAGTGCAATTTTCATATATTAAATACATGGAGAACAAAAACGAGATTTGGATCGGAGAAGGGCGACGAAGCATACATTCAATTTCTTCGCCGCCACCAGCTTCCCCGTAATTGCCCTTTCCTCCCAGATCGCCACTGCAATTTTTCTTGTCTTCAACAACGTAGCCGGAGCTGTAGATTTTGGCAGAGATCGTGGTGTAATTTTCATTCAGAGTACACATACAATAAATTTCTTTGTTGGAACAATTATAGAATTTTGGTGTTTGTTTAAATAATTGATTAGAGTGTTTTTCTCTTTTTTATAAACACTAAGAAATTTATAGAATATTCTTGATGTATCAAGAATTTCATATATTGAATCTCTTTAAGTAGAAAGTGATAATTAAAGCTTTTTTTATAATCTGGAGAAAATAATGAAATATTTTTTATGCTCCATCCCATTATGTGGTATATTTGACGCATTTAATATTTACACAGGTTAAATAGACAATAAATATCTATTTCTAATGAATTACAGACACGTAATGTTTGTGATTACAAACTCACATACACTAATGTTTGTGAGCTGCATAGGTTCTTAAGAAAAGCAATTCAATCAAGATTCTTGAGCTGCTTAGGTGCGTAAGAAAATCAATTCAATCAAGATTTTTGTCTCACAGAGTTTTACGAAACAAACATGAAATACATACACTTTCTTGAGTCGATATCCATTTGTATGGATGGTAATGTAATACATAAAGAGCCAACACATACAAAAAACAAAGCCAATGAGACCTAACGACCCAAAAGCCTGAGGTTATACAACCAAAGAGCTAAAGTTGAGTCTTGAATTATACGCAAAATCAAGCGCAACTTCATAGACTCATAAAAGCTTGACCTTATTCCGTCACAAACAGAGAGAACAAAAGCTGAAGGAGCAAGGTAGAGTTCCATGTTAGTCTGCAATACATCATAGAACAAAATAGTAAAGTTTACAATTATTTAAAAAAAGTCTAAAGCTAAGCTTTCAAAGGCCATATATAATAAAACTCAAGCATACCAAGACAAACCAAAATAGTTTAATCAGCGATGTAAATACCATTTTAAATATGCATGAAAGTGTACGTAATAATCAACTTCTACGCCTCTACATCAATTCTTCCTCTACCGACTGCTTTCTCGTCAACGCCTGTTCCTCCCCTATTGCCACATCGTCTTTCTTCTCCTTCAACAGCGTCACCGGAGCGATGGAATCTAGTTGAGATAGCGGAGCAATTTTATTCAGGGTACACAGACAGTAGGTGTCTGTTTTTCAAAAAATTACTGACATTAATTATCTATATGACTTGATAGTGCCTATTGTAACTTTTCTACACCATCAGAAAAATTGTAAGATATTCTTGTTATTGGATTTTTTGACATATTTGACTGCTGTAATTTTCTTCAATGTTACACAAATCATAAATGTCTATGTATCAATACTTACAGACATTAAGAATCTTTGTAACTAAATAGTGGTAATTGTAAATTTCATTCTTGCTTTGGAAAAATGTGAAATACTTTTTATATAGGATTATTTGGCGTATCAGATCGATGCAATTTTTATCCAGATAAAACAGACAATGAGGGTTTGTGTTCAATGAATCACAAACATTTTATGTGAAAAAACAATAATGATTACATATTTTACGCAAGTGCTTTAAGCACGTGAAAAAAAAAGTAAAAGTCAATGAACCATTCAAAAATTGAGCTATTGAGCATTAAAGCCAATTTAACTCAAGTACTTTTATAAGTATATGACAAATAAATCCACATTAAATCAACTTCTACTTTTCTTTATTTATAAGAGAGGTCAAGATTTATTGGAAGCAAGAAGGGAATAAAAAATGGTAAACAGAGAAAAAACACCAAAAGGTATAGGTTTAGCCGTTTAGGCCTACAAATTTGGCAGCTTCAAATACTATTTTGGTAAGATAATCAAGTTATTGAAGCAAATTGAAAATAAATTAGATAAAAATTTACCTAGCGCAGTATTAAAAAAGTAGACTAGGAAATTTAGTTTATGCACAAAATAAAATTGCCAAGAACTATATGCAAGCGCACACAAAATTAGATCTGTGAACAAAATCAAATTCGATTTTTGCCTTAATCAAATTGGAAAATCAAAACCTCCATCGAAAATGAACAAACTCAGAAATAACAATGAACCAAACCATATTTGATTTACCTAGGCGGAAGTGCGAAGACGAAGGCTTGGAGTAGAGGGCAACGTGGTAGACGAAGGAGCAAAACGAAGATGGCGACGCTGGTACTGAGGAATTGGAACAAGAAGATGAACGCACGTCGTGCACGCCCGTCGGAAATTGATCGGAAGAGAGAGAGAGAGAGAGAGAGAGAGAGAGACGGGTGGGGGCACAGAGAAGGGAAAGAATGGGTATATGGAGGGTGGGGTAGGGTAACCTTTTATTTGGTGTACACCCGGTGTACAAACCCGGGGTACAATGCTCATAAGCCTTTAATGCTCAACAGCTCAACCCGGTGTACAAACCCGGGGTTCTGTTCAAAATCCGCGAGACGGGGATGAAAATTGTCGCGATTGGTACCAGTCTGTTCCCGTTGGCATCGAGTATTGACTGCGTCGTCATCCCGAATCTCGCAGCGATAGCCGCCGAGCTGTCCCCTAGGACGGTGTAGGTGACCAGAAAGTTCCGCAAGTCCATGGTGTTTCAGGGTGGTATTTGAGAGGTTTTCATTATGTGTTTGTACGTTTCTTGAACTTAGCACTGCTTATTTTACAGTGCTTATTTGATTACTCCATATTTGATTTTGCAATGCTTATTTGATTTTGTGGTGCTTAAATTTTGCAGTGCTTATTTGATTTTTTCTTGATTCTAATAATATGAATTTATTTAAAAAAATGGGATGTTTGATTCAATATGGATAAACAAAAAAGATGAACCAACATAGAACTGGAAATTTATCTAAATCAATAAACAAATCTCCTCAAGTATATAAAATTCCATGCAAATCAATAAAAGAGTCTGTCAAACTCTGCATGGAGTCATTGGAATTTCTAAATCCACCCTACAAACTTTTAATTAAATACATCCCCCTAAATTGAGTGGCTCCAGAAAGTAGCATTGGGAAAAACTAACTTTGAAGAAAAGACAATTACAACTCATTTTTGTCTTCTCGAGGTTGGACGGTTTAGTGGCTCAAGGCCACTTTACAAATCTTGGCATTTAATGTGGAGAGATGACTCATCCAAATATATAGTATTTAAAGCCATTTAATGCTTTCATCATTCACAAGCACCAAATAGTCTCTTTCCAAAAAAAATTCTGTTCCAAAAAATGGCTCAAACAAAAGATATGAGCATGTTGGGTGATCTGAGCAAAATAGACAATCGCAAGACGACTTGGATGATTCGGTTGAGGGCGGTTCGTGTGTACTTTGTTCCCGCCTGGGCCAAAGGAGGAGATTCCGTGGAGGTCATCTTTCATGATGAAAATGTAAGACATAAGAACACTTCCATTTCCTTAGTCTATTTCATTTCCATGTCGTAATCCATTCTTTATTTTGTTAGTTCGTATTCGGTATTCTGTTCACAAGGAGCACGATTCACGCTCATCTGAAGAAGTCGAAAAAAACGCTTGGAAGCACAAATTGTTGAAGACGGTGTTTATGAAATTAGAAATGTGTTTGTTCATGATAACTACTTATCATGCAAAACAACCACACATTCTAAACTCTTAGTTTCTTATAATAAAACCCAAGTCGAAATCCTGAATGGAGACGATTTTTCAAAGATGATGTTTGAGTTAAAATCCTTTGATAGCATTCAAACTCAATCGTGCTTGAACGATCAGCTTTTGATTCGTACAATTTC